GGGTAAGTCCTGGGCAAACACACCACCTCCCTGGACCCTTCCAGCCCAGGAGTCCCCTCACTGACTCCAACCAACCATGCCAACCTCTCAGCTCCTCCAAGCGACACTCTTTTGTTTTGTTTGGTTTTTTGTTAATCTTCACCCGAGTATATGTTTTCCATTGATTTTTAGAGGGTGTGGAAGAGAGGGAGGGAAGAAGAGAGGGAGAGAGAGAGAGAGAATGAGAGACATTGATGTGAGAGACACACACATCAATTGGTTGTTTCCCACATGCTCCTGGAGCGGGGTGGGGATTGAACAGGCAACCCAGGCACATGCCCTTGACCGGGAATCGAGCCTGCGACCCTGCCATGCACGGGCTGGTGCTCTAACCATGAAGCACACCAGCCAGGGCGACAACCCTTCCTTGCCTCCGGGCCTTTGCCCAGGAAGTTCCCTCCCCCTGACCGCACACCGTCTACACCCGGTTAATTCCTGCTGGACCATAAGGGTCAGCCAAGCTCTGCGTCCTCCAAGGCTGCCCTACCCCAGACTGTCAGAACCCCTCCACAAGCAGCCACTCTTCCACAGGCTCAAGTTTAACCCACTGGTGGGGTCTGAAGCTCCCTGGGTCTGAGTGCCCCCCGGGGCACGGGCTCATTCTGTTCTGCTCATTTCACCCAGGCCCACGGTCTCCCTCCTGTGTTGAACGAATCAATATATTAATGAGTAACTGGCAGAGTCAACAAATGGGGGACATAGTATTGGATGGGCAAGCAGGTGGCTTCCTGGGCCTCAGTTTCCCAGGCTGCTCAGTGGGAGGGGCTGGGCTCAGCCGTCTCTAGCTCTGCCCATCTGGGGTCTGGGGACTGGATGGATGGGGACAGCAGAGAGGCCCCAAAATGCTGGGAGGTGCCAATCAAAAGATAAACAAGCACATCATCTTATAGACGAAATGGTACCATCATCCCTGACACCTGAATGACCATTTAGTCCTTTATGTCAGCTCAGACCCGGCCCAGACCGAGTCCACCCCGCTCCCCCTGTGGCTTTTAAAGTAGATTTTTACAATTGGCTTAGGAACCTGCGTTGGTGCCAAGCTCCCAGATGAAGCTGACGCCTGAGGACTCCGCAGTGAGCTCTGGCTGGTGACTTCGGAACAGCCGATGGCAAGCTGCAGCCTGTGGAGGCCTGGGGCCCACACCGACCCTGCCTGGCGGGAGTGGGATCCCGCCCCCTGCAGGCCAGGCTCCTAGCTCAACTCTCAGGGTGGCGTTTATGGGCCGGTGCAGGCACAGGGATGAGGGAGGTCCTGCTTGGACCTAACACCGTCTGCCCTGCTGCCCTGGTACCCACCTGCCTCTCTGGGAAAGATCTGGGGCTGGCCTGGGAGTCATACCCGGGGTCCACTATCTCTTGATCACTTGGGGGGAGTCCTGGGCAAACGCACCACCTCCCTGGACCTCTGTCTCCTTTTGTCAAAAGGAGAGTCTATGAAAAGGTGACCCGCTGGCTCCACTCCTTGTAAGTGAAACACAAAATCAACTATAATCTGACTCCATCCACCTATCACACCCGCAGAAGCCAAAAAGCTCGCAAAGGTGGTGGGGCAGCAGGGGCTCAGGGGGTGGGAAACTAGGGCCACCTTCTGGACGGCAATGAGATTGATTCTCTACAATTAAAATGGGGGTGGGGGGGGAGGTCAGAGGCGAAACCCAAAAAGCCTGGGGTGGGTAACTGCTGGATCTGATGCCAGGTGCCCAGGGGGTCATTACCCTCAGCTCTATCCTTGCATATGTGTTTGAAATGTTCCATAAAAAAAAGATAATCAGCCCTGGCCGGTTTGGCTCAGCGGTTAGAGCGTTGGCCTGCGGTCCGGAGAGACCCGGGTTCGGTTCCCGCTAAGGGCACGTACCTCGGTTGCAGTTTGTCCCCGGCCCTGGTTGGTCGTGCAGGTGGCAGCCACTCGATGTGTCCCTTCACGTCGATATTTCTCTCTCTCTCTCCCTTCCTCTTTCTCCCTCCCACTCTATCTGTACAAAAAATGGAAAAATGTCCTCAGGTGAGGATGAAAAAAAAAAACAAAAAAGATAATCAAAATTATTCAGCAATAAAGAAATAAAGCCACTTCATGGATGCACCATGGAACATCATGCTTGGTGAAGGAGCCAGCCACAAAGGACCTCCTATTTCATGATTCCAGGTACAGGAAAGGCCCAGGATGGGCAAATCCACGGAGACAGGAAGCCGGGGAAAGGCTGCCAGGGGCTGGTGGTGGGAATGAGTGGGTGACTCCCAAGGGGGTGAGTTATCTCCTTGGGCCACTGAAAATGTGCTAAAAAATATGTTTTCTTTATTGATTTTGAGAGAGAGAGGAAGGGAGAGGGAGAGAGAGATGGAAACATCGATGAGAGAGAACATCGACTGGCTGCCTCCTGCATGCCCCCCCCCCCCGGGGATGGGGCCCACAGCCTGTGCATGTGCCCTGACCGGGAATCGAACCGGTGACCTCTTGGTGCAGGGTCCATGCTCAACCACTGAGCCACACAGGCTGAGCAATGTGCAGGACATTTTACTTTTTTTTTTTTTTTTTTTTTATCCTCACCCGAGGACATTTTTCCATATTTTGTACAGATAGAGTGGGAGGGAGAGAGAGGAAGGAGAGAGAGAGAGAGAAACATCGACGTGAAGGGACACATCGAGTGGCTGCCACCCGCACAACCAACCAGGGCCGGGGACAAACTGCAACCGAAGTACGTGCCCTTAGCGGGAACCGAACCCGGGTCTCTCCGGACCGCAGGCCGACGCTCTAACCGCTGAGCCAAACTGGCCAGGGCTGTGCAGGACATTTTAAATCAGTAGAGAAACATCGTAACGTTTGAATCACCAGGACAGCTGAGCCTCAGCCCTGGGGTTAGAGAACGCCTGTCTGTATAGAAAAATAACACGGCCCTGGCCTGTTTGGCTCAGCGGTGAGAGCGTCAGCCCATGGACCAGAGAGAGGGTTCCTGCTAAGGGCACGTACCTCAGTTGCAGTTTGTCCCCCGCCCCGGTTGGGGTCGTGTGGGTGGCAACCAGTCGATGCGTCTCTCTCACATTGATGTTTCTCTTTCTCTCTTCCTCCTGCTTTATCTAAAGATAAATGCAAAAATGTCCTCGGGTGAGGATTAAGGAAAAAAAGAAAAAAGAATATGCATCTTTTCTAACTTGTCTAAAATATTTCCAGAAGGAGATGCATGAAGCTTCACAGTGAAAAATTAGAACGGGGGTGGAGGGCACGGTGAAGGGATTTAGGAAACTTGGTTTTCCCAGGACGACCTTTGGCCATATTCACGTCACTACATACCATATGTTGTGCCGGGAGGGTTATGTGAGGTGCCGGGAGGGTTATCTGAGGTGACATGTGTCAGGAGGTCAGGCGGAATCTGAGGGGCCAGGCCAGGAGGCCCAGGCCCCCACCATCTGAATTTGTCTGCCAGCTGCCCAGGGGGGGAGCGGAGACAGGCAGGCGGGGGAGTTATGCAACCGTGGTTGGGAAATCCCGCAGGGGAAGCCTGGGACCCTGTGTCAATACGCCTCCTTGGGCCGGCCTGTTGGCTGCGGGGTGGACGCCAAGCTTGCTCTCGGTTTGCATTTCTCCCTGGAGCCACCAACAGTAACTGCCTGCGGGGCCTCCTGCAGCGCCAGGGACCAGAGGAGAATGAGACCAGCCCTGGCCCTGCTCAGCCCTGGAAATCAGGGTCTTTCTCCATGGGACCGGTGAAAAACATCCTAGATCACCCAAACAGCAAAACTTTAGGCTGCCGCAAAAAAAAAAAAAAGAGAGAGAGAGACTGAGATCAACCTCTACGTGCTTGTTACGGGTTGAATCTGCTTGTTACGGGTTGAATCGTGCCCACCCCCTTCAAGGTGTGTCAAAGCCCTAACTCCAGGACCCCTCAGAATGTGACCTATTTGGGCTATGGGGCTGTGGCAGGTGTCATCCTTATAGTTAAGGGTGACGGGTGTCCGTATAACAGGCGGAAATTGCACGCAGGTGTGCACGTGGGGAGACCACCATGTGAACATAAAGGCAGATCAGGTGATGTTTCTACAGCAGAGGAACTGGGAGGGTTGCCAGGAAACCACCAGCAGCTAAGGGAGGGGACAGATCTCCTGGCCCCCAGAACTGGGCACAATCCATTTCTGCTAGTTGAGGGGCAGGGTTTGGGCTGCTTCGTTAAGGTGGCCCTAGTGAACAAATGTCGTGCTGCAAGAGGACTGTTGTCAAAACATCCTGTTTGGTGACAAGCTCAGGGGCAAACCAGCATAACACAGGGTGATAGGATCTGAGGATTTCACACCAGGGCTGCCCAGCCGGGAACAACACCTTTTTCCCTGCACCCTCACCTCAGCTCCTGCTGACCTCCGGTCAGTCCACCTTCCACATGGCCCAGAGCTGCTCCTGGCCTGCTCCCAGAGTCCCCAGGACAAAGTCCCAGCCCCTCAGGCTGGAATTGGAGGCCCTGCCACCTCTGCAGCTCCAGCCCTCACTCCCCTCCGTCACACACTAGACCAAAGTTTCATTCCTCAAACATGCCATGCCTTTCCTGCCTCAGGGCCTTTGCACAGGCTGTTCCCCCTGCCTGGAATGCTCTTCCCCCACATCCCCAATACTCACTCCTAGAGCTCCCTCCCCCAGGCCTTTGCTCAAACATCACCATCTCAGGGGCCCCTCTGGATTTCCCACTTAAAGCTGTCCCCTCCTCCCCACTTCATTCTTTGTTCTGTTTTCCTCCCCACACTCTCGCCTTCTCAGAGAGCACAGGATTCCTTACTTATCAGGACTGTAGCTCTCGGTTAGTCAGCCTCCCTAAGGTGGGGATGCTTATTGGTCTCACATCCTGCTGTGGCCCCAGTGTCCGCACATAGTACTTGCTCAATAAATGCTTGAGCAAATAAACCAAGGAATGAATGACCAGGTCCCCCCGCTGCCATGCAGAGCCCTCCCCCGCCCTTCGCTGGGCACAGGGCTCACTCACAGGTGATTTCCTCGTGGGTGAATCCCAGGACCCGCAGGGACTCCAGCGTCTCCTGGAAGAGCTCCCGCTCCTGGCCCGGAGAGGACGCCGGCCCATTGGTGAGGAAGCGGTACTGGGAGCATGGCTCCAGGAGCAGGTCGGCTGCAGGGGTAACAAGCGGAGGCCAAGGTCAAGGTGGAACGGTGGCATCAGACTCACATCCTGGCTTCCTCAGAGGCTACCCCAGACGAGTCACTGCCCCACTGGGAACCTCGGTTTCCTCCTCTGTTAAGTCAGTGGAAGGGCTGGGGATGGAGTGGGTGCTTACTTAGCACATATTAGACCTTTCATCTTTCCTCCTTCCACAGAGGTTCTCAAGCCCTGGAATTGCCCAGAGCAGGCGGGAGCCGCTGGTCGGCAGAAGCAATGGGCCCAAGGGTGCCTTGAGTTAGCAGAAGCCATGGGCCAGCAGGGGGCCAGCAGCAGACGGCATGTGGCTCAGAAGCCCCCGAGAAGCCCCCGGGAGCCTGGGTGAGGAGGGGCCGGAAGGGGTGGCAGGAGCCAGCATGACAGGGAGCCACAGGCAGGAGGAGCTGAGCAGGGGGCAAGAAGAACCTCAGGAAGCAGCCAGAGCGAAGGGGAGCCGCAAAGCCACACAGACCAGGACCGCGGGGATCCGTGAGGCAGGGGAGCCACGGCAAAGCTGGAGTCACACCCGCTGGAGTGAGCAGAAGAGAAGTGAGTGTGCACAGGAGCCATGTGGCCAGTGTGATCAAGACCAGGGAGACAGCAGGACCAGAGGGCAGCAGAATCTACTGCTGCAAAAGTTGTGAGGTGGCCGGAACCAGGGGCGGCAGGATCCAGGAGGCGACAGAATGCACTCCCCAAAGGAGCCCGACACATATCAATGCCACCCATTTCTCCTTCTGGGGCCCAGAGAAGCCAGAGGCCCGAGGGGCCCCCACCTAGCCCCCGGCAGCGACACGGACCCTTGAGCTGCTCTCCCGCGCCGTCCAACAGCTGGTAGAAGATATGGAAGCTGCACTCGTCCTTGGCCTGACGGATGGCCCGCGACTTCTCCAGCAGGTCTGGGTGGAGGCGAGTCAAGGTGCCGCAGAAAAGGCGGAGAGGGGACCCCGCCTGGGCCCCCATCCATTTGCCCCCGCCCCCCCGCTATCTCCTAATGCAGTAGGGTCCTTCACAGTCCAGGCCGGTGACCTGGCCACTAACTGGATGAATGGCCTTCAGCATGTCACTGAAGCCCTTGTGCCTCAGTTTCCTCATCGGCAAAAGGGGCTTGATCATAACACCCATCAGTGAGTTGCTGTGAATGAGCTATATGGTAAGACTGTCTCCTGCCATCATTACCCTCCCAGCCTCCGTTTCCCTGTACGGATATTGGGGTTACTGGTTCCTCCCTTCTAGGAAAGTCACATGACTCGTTCACACACTAAAAATCGTTAACAGCCCTGGCCACGTGGCTCAGTTGGCTGGAGCACCACACCATACACCAAAAGGTTGAGGGTTCGATTCCCGATCGCGACACATACCTAAGTTGTGGGTTTGATCCCTGGTCGGGGTGTATACAGAAGGCAACCAATTGATGTTTCTCCTTCTCTCTTCTCCCTTCCCCTCTCTAAAATTAATAAGCATAGGATTCAAAATAAATCAATAAAAATAAAAATGGGTGACACACACCTTAGAGCAAATAAAACACCCAATTACTCAATTGCCCCTCCATGCCCCACACTCATGGGCCACCAAGCACGGATTTTGCGTGACAGTCATAACGCAGAGTCTTGTTCAAGATCGGCTACCAACCGAGGTCATTGACTTAAAGCCCTGGGGTCAATAACCTGCTGGGGAAATGGAGAGGAGAAGGGGACAGGGTCACACAAGGCGGGGTGGGGTGGGGGAAGCACACACAACCGGTGCGACCCTGGGTGCCGACAGCCCCAAACCTCGGCTTCCCCTTGTTAAATGGGGTGATGACACCTGCCTCCTTGCGGGCCGGGAGAGAGGAGGTGCTGAGATAACCGTGGAGCGCTCTCAGGACCAGGCGTGTCGGAACAAGCAAGGCAGGTCAGGTGCGGAGGGTCAGGCAGAGCTGGAGACCTATCTGATTGGCCTGGGGGGGGCACCTGCCCAGGATCTCAGCGCACACACAGGCTGCTGATAGGCCCGAGGGCAGAGACAGCTGTGTCCAGTGGGCAGCCACAGCTGCTGAGGAGTGTGGACGAGAGAAAGGTAGCGTTCAAACGCAGGTGCCGAAGACAAGTGTGAAGATAAAAAGAGGCTGCAGGGCCTTGGCCAGGGTGCTCAGTAGTTAGAGCGCCAGCTGCACACCAAAGGATCTCGGGTTCAATTCCCCATCAAGGGCCCATACCTAGGTTGCAGGTTTGATTCCCTGGTGCCAGTTGGGGCGACTGCGGGAGGCAGCCAATCAACGTGTCTCTCTTACATTGATGTTTCTCTCTCTCCTCTCCCTCCCTCCCTCCCTTCCACTCTCTCTAAAAATCAATGGAAAAAATATTCGCAGGGCCCGGCCAGTGTAACTCAGTGGTTGAGCGGTGACCCATGCACCACGAGGTCGCTGAGTCAATTCCTGCTCAGAGCACATGCCCAGGTTGTGGGCCAAACCCCCGGTGGGGGTCGTGTAGGAGGCGGCCAATCGCTGTTCTCTCTCATCGATGTTTCTCTCTCTCTTTCTAAAAATAAATAAAGAAAAAAATATCTTCAGGTAGGGATCAACAAAACATTAATTCATTAATTTTTTAAAAACATGTTTTTGGGTAAGGATTCAAAAAATAATAATGCTAACATCAATAAGGACGCTGTTAATTTACTCCAATCCTTAACTTCTAATAACCAGAGCTCGTTAACGAGTGCTTACTTTGTGGTGGGCGCCGTGCTAAGCATTTGACCCACATTGTCCTCTAAACCCTTCTGGGGCAGGTTCTGTGAGCCTTCCCCGTCTGCAGAAGGGCAAACTGAGGCACAGAGAAGTGTCATCAGGTGCTCGGGGTCCCGGCAGGCTCTGAGCGGCAGAGCAGGACTGGAGCCCAGGTCGGGGTGATTTGTCCGTCTGCACGCCAGGAGCTCCTGTGTTTTGTCTGGTAAATTCGCACTGAGCCTGTAGGCTGCCTGTGCAGAACGGGGCGGTGAAGGATACAGGTCTCGATGTTGGCACCCACGATGTACCCAGCCACGTCAAAGTTGATGCGGATGAATTTGCCCTATAGGTAAGGGGGTTGGGGGCTTAGCTGAGGGTCCTCGTCCTCCCAGTGGTTTGAGGAGCAGCCCTCACCCACACTCACCCCTCCCAGAGCCTCTTGGCTTTGTCTCTGCCTTCACCCGAGCCCCACCTCAATCATGGGGTGTCAGCAGAGAGAGCTCCCTGCAGAATCCGAGGTCCAGGCCCCTTTGACTTCTTTCCTCAGGCCCCAGGCCCCCAGCCCCCCGGCAGCTCCTCCCTCAGCAGACCCACACATCTTGCCTCCCCCTACTGCTCTCCTGACAGGCAGCCTGGCACCAGCCCCTCCCAGCACTCACAAATCGGGAGGAGTTGTCATTCTTCACTGTCTTGGCGTTGCCGAAGGCCTCCAGGATGGGGTTGGCCTGAAGAAGCTGCCGCTCCAGCTCACCCTGCCGGGTGGGGGTGGGGAACCTCAGTGAGAACCAGGGCAGGGGGTTGTGGTCTGTGTTACAGTTGGCTGAGTGTGTGTGTGAGGGACTTTTGTATATCTGGGTGTGTGCCTACTTCCCTGTATCCAGCTGGCGCCTATCAATCTATTGTGAAGGGAACAAGAAAACATCTCCAAAATGCATTGTTGAGTGGAAACAAAACAAAACAAACAAACAAAAAATTGCAGAAAAATACCTACAATGTGATCCCATTGATAAAAAATAAATTGAGAAAAAACACCACCAAGCACTCCCATTCTACAGGTATAGATACATGTTTGTAAGCATTTAGAGAAAGGTCTGCAAGGATACACACCAAGCTGTCAACAGTGTAAGCCACTCCAAGGAAGGGGCATTGAGAGGAAGAAAGCAATTTCACTTTATCTGATTTTGTTGTTGTTGTTGTTGTTACAATGCATTACTTTTGGAATGAATTAAGGAAAAATCTGTACCATCTATATAAAGTGTGTCAGCCCTGGCCAGTTTGGCTCAGCAGTTAGAGCGTTGGCCTGCGGTCCAGAGAGACCCGGGTTCGGTTCCCGCTAAGGGCACGTACTTCGGTTGCAGTTTGTCCCCGGCCCTGGTTGGTCGTGCGGGTGGCAGCCACTCGATGTGTCCCTTCACGTCGATGTTTCTCACTCTCTCTCCCTTCCTCTCTCTCCCTCCCATTCTATCTGTACAAAAAATGGAAAAATATCCTCGGGTGAGGATAAAAAAAATAAAAAAGAAAAAAAATAAATAAATAAAGTGTGTCAAACTGGCACATCATAGGCATTCACAAAATGGTAGTTTCCTTCCCTATGAGTAGGGATCTTACTCTGAACTCCCCACAGCCATTTTGGCACCAGAGCCAGGAACATAGTAGGTGTTCAATAAATGGCAATTTTCTTTTCCTCCTTCATAACCAGGCTCTCTAGGGCATGAGCTATTTCTTTAATTTCCCTGCGAGCCCTCAGAGACTAGCTTGAGCTGAGAGCCTGCAATAAATGGCAGTATGGGTCTCTGAGTGTGTGAATTCATGGTGTCTGTGGTCCCCATCTACAAGCATTTAGCAGATCAGCAATAAATGGTACTTTGGTCTCTGAGTTATTTCGTGTTGATATCTATGGGCAGTCTGCACACACACGGTAGAGCTAACAGAAGTAGCAGTGCAGACTGGTTCTATACACACACAGTAGGACCACACTAAATGACAGTACGGGCCCTGGGTGTGTGTGCTCACAGTAGGGCCACCATCAACAGTAGCGGGCCCTGTGTGTACACAGTAGGGTTGCATTAAACGACTGCAGGGACTGGTATGCACCTAGTAGGACCACCATAAGTGGCAGTGTGGCTCCCTGGCAGGCGTAACCATCAGTGCCTTGGGCCCTGTCTGCCAGGAAGACCGTGGGTTGGGGTGACCTGGGTGGCATTAGGGCAGCATGACGCAAAGTGATTCCCTGCTACTCACATAAGACATGGTGCTGGCGGAGGCCTGAGGAAGTCACAGGACACGAGACACGGACCGGGACACGGACCAGGACACAGCACATGAAACGTGGACAGACACACAGGTGAACTGGTGGTCTCAGGTGGTGGGCAGGGGAAAGATGAGGGGGAACTGGACATGTGGAGTGGGGTGGCCTGGGGGACCACAATGCCTGGGTTTGAATCCACTCTAGCCCTTGCAGGGTGTGTGACCCCAAAACCTACTCACCCCAGCCATGCCTTCAGTTTCTCATCTTTAACACAGGAAAACAACACCCACCCCACTGGAGTGTTAAATTAAAATGAGCACAAGGACAAGCACTATACAAAAATGCCCACTTATAAAGCCAACCAGGGCACTGCAGGTACCCCAGTGGGCCTGACACATAGTAGGTGCTCAGGAATATAAGCACCTACTATGTGCCTGGTGCTGTTCCAAAGGCCAATGAAGCCAAGAATTGGCCCTTGCATTTTTTGTCCACCTGCCACGACTCCCAGTACTCTATCAGGCACGTAGTAAGTGCACAACCAGCATGGAAAGCCAGGAGAAGACCCACAACTGTGGCGCCCCCTGAGGGAGGGAGGGAGTTATGGGGAAGCAGAGCCTGAGATGGAGGGGGCATTGCTGGTGGCAGGATCTAGAGCATGTCCCAAGACAGGTCACTTACCGGTACGCCTGGCTCCTTCCTGCCCTTCGGCGATGATGCAACGTGGGCAAGGTACTGGATGACCTTCTTGGTGTTTTCTGTCTTCCCGGCTCCAGACTCCCCACTATGCGGGACAACAAGGGGAAGCAAGAGGGGTCAGCAACGATTCCAGGTAAACCCCACCCAATCCAAGGAGATCCACACCCAGCTGGGACCCCACCTCCACCAGGAAGCCCTCAGGATTACTCACGTGCAGAGAATGGACTGATCCTCACGATCTGGAGGGGACAGAGGGGAACATGTCAGCTGGCAGGGTCTTTCCTGCAGGACCCAGGCACCTTATGCTGGCCACTCCCTTTTCAAAATCATTCCCGGGGAATAAGGGAAAGCTTGGGTTTTGATGTGTGACACTCTTTTTTTTTTTTTTTTATCCTCACCCGAGGACATTTTTCCATTTTTCGTTCAGGTAGAGTGGGAGGGAGAGAGAGGAACAGAGAGAGAGAGAGAAACATCGATGTGAAAGGAACACATCGAGCGGCTGCCACCCGCACGACCAACCAGGGCCGGGGACAAACTGCAACCAAAGTACGTGCCCTTAGCGGGAACCGAACCCGGGTCTCTCAGGACCGCAGGCCAACGCTCTAACCGCTGAGCCAAACCGGCCAGGGGACACTCTTGGATTCTAATACCCAACCCAACTTGGCCTCTTGCTTGCTGTGTGACCCTGGGAAGGCAGCTGTCTCTCTCTGAGCCTCAGTTTCCTCACTTGAGGAGACAATAAACTCCAACTGAACAGCATATGATTCATTCAACAAACTTCAGTTTGAGCCCCTACCACGTGCTGAGCGTGAGATCCAAAGACAGGAGAGTGGGATCCTGGACCCCAGGGAGGCAGTGGTCAGAGTCCCTCAGCTCAAATCCCACCTCAGCCACCCACCCACCAGGGGGACTGTGGGCAATGACTGTACTGCTCCGTGCCTCAGTTTCCCCATCTGGAAGCCAGGGAGATGAGCTCACCTGCTTCATGGGGTTGCTGTGAGGTTAAATGCGTTAGTCCACAAAAAGCGCGAGTAGGCGCTCACCCTTACTTTACTGTACATTTATTCCTAAGATATAATAACTGGGATCTAGCAGCTGAAAATTAGACAAATGAATGTGAAACAAATGAAATTATAGAACCAAGTAAGTATCACCTGTGATTAAGTATAAATTTATCATGTGAATATGGGAACATGACATCTAAATCTATTCCATTCTAGCCCGGCTGGTGTGGCTCAGTGGTTGAGCAGCGACCCATGCACCAAGAGGTCGCCGGTTCGATTTCCAGTCAGGGCACATGCCCAGGTTGTGGGCCCAATCCCCAGTAGGGGGCATGCAGGACCAGGCCCCTTCGTTGTTGCTTTTTTTAGTCCTCATCTGAGGATATTTTTCCACTTATCTTCAGATATAGTGTGTGTGGGAGAGAGAGAGAGAGAAACATCGATGTGAGAAGGACACATCGACTGGTTGCCTCCCACATGACCCTGACCAGGTCCAGGGCTGAACTGCAACCGAGGTACATGCCCTTAACCAGAATCAAACCTGCAACTCTTTGGTCCGCAAGCCGACACTCTAACCCCTAGCCAAACCGGCCAGGGCCAGGCCCCTTTTTCATCTGCCTGTGTGTCCACCCCTTCTCTCAACAGGCATCATTTGGGAGCCAACTGATGCCAGGTTTCTGCTGAAATTTCTCTGGAGACAGTGATTCTCAGAGTGTCCACTCATTTACCATTCACGTTGCTGGCACGATCTGTTCTGTCATGGGGTGAATAGCAGCCCCTTACATGGCAGGCAGAGGGGTCACCGTGTACAGTGGGGAGGCGGTGCACTGCGCAGAGATGTCTGTTAAAGGGACTGCCATTCATGCCACGACAACGTGAATTACAGGATCCACACGTAATGCGCATAATGCGCTCATTCTTTGTTATATACCATCTATTTTAATACACAGTTTGTACGTATTAAAATGCACTGAGCCCGGCCCGTGTGCTCAGTGGTTAGAGCGTTGGCCCGTAGACCAAAGGGTCACAGGTTCAATTTCCAGTCAAGGACATTTGCCTGGGTTGCAGGCTTGATCCCAGACCCCAACAGGGCCGTGCGGGAGGCGACCAATCAATGTGTCTCTCGCACATCGATGTTTCTCTCTCTCTCTCCCTCTCTTCCACTCTATCTAGAAATTAATGGAGAAATATCCTCAAGTGAGGATTAACTACAAAAAAATAGGGGGTGAAGGAGCCTGTCAGGTAGGACCCAGAGCCTTGCCCCCTGAGCCCTTCATTTGTGTCTTCTCCTGCCCCACCAAGAAGCTTGGTGGAGTCTGAGATCCTGGACCCGTGATCTGATCCTAAGCCTCCACAGCCCCCACAGGAGGGTCGCCTCCAGCAGCCCCAGCCCCACTCACCCTGGAGCATGCTTCGGTAGGCCCCCTCGGTCACTGCGTATACGTGGGGTGGCACTTCGTGGCGCTTCTTGCCTCGGTACATCTCCACAATCGCCTCCGTGTAGATGGGGAGCTGCTTGTACGGGTTGATGACCACACAGAAAAGGCCAGAGTACGTCTGCAGGGGACAAGAAGGAGGAGGGCCTCAGCCGCCTGCCTGCAGCCCCGGGGGCGGCACAGGCTGCCGCATATAGCTGGGCAGCCTGCACCCTACGCCAGGACATCCGTCAAAGGGGAGGTTGTTCACACCGTGAAAATGTCGATCTGTTGTTGTTAATCCTCACCCAAGGGTATTTTTTCCATTGATTTTTATTTTAGAAAGAGTGGAAGAAAGGGGGGGGGGGAGAGAGAGAAAAATACCAATGGGAGAGAGACACACTGATTGGTTGCCTCCTGCACTCACCCACCTGCCACCCAGGTGGGAATCGAACCCAAGACCCTCCAGAGCACGGGCTGACGTTCTAACCACTGAGCACACTGGCCAGGGCTCGAATTTGAACATCTGTTACAAACACTTTCAGGCTGCCGGTAGAAGAGAATCTTTCCAAACTGCACAAAGGCACCGTACGGGTGAGGATTCGCCCTGAGAGAGAATGTGGACTTTGCCACCGGCCAGACTTGGGCCACAGCCTGTCGCTGCCTGGACCCAGACACACAGGAAGGGAGCGTGTGCAAACCTATCTACTGCAGCCTTCTTCATAATGGCAGAGGCTGGAGGTGACCCGAATACGTGTCCGTACATGGCTCCCCATAACCTCTCCGCGAAGGGGTGTGGAATGATCTCCAAAACTTTAACAAGTGACAGGAAACAAGGCGAGAGCCCTTCGCAGTGAATAGGGCAGAAGAGGAGTATTTTCATGGACTTGCTTGAACACACACAGAATATCTCGGGAAGGGTGTTCACAGTACGGCAGCCACTGAAACGTGACGGGAAGAATCTGTGGTTTCTATTAGTAACAGACACGCAGGTCCTGCTTACGCGAATCCCATTATAGAAACAAGTAAGTGTTACCTGTGATGAAATACACATTTCTAATGTGAACATAAAAACGTGACATTTAAATATGTTGGTGCATAAAACAGGTATATTGGAGATTGTCTATTGTACTCAAACTTGTGGGTCACTTTTACCGAAGGAAATGCTCAAGTTTAGGTTCCAGGTGTATGGAAATGAAGATGTAATTTTTTTTTTTTTTTTTGCATCCAAGTTCACGGACTTCCTGAATTTATCCACACACCCGTTGGGCCTGGATTCAGGACCCTGGGATGGTCTAAGAACTGTTCCAGCTCACCCAGAGCATCAGGTAGACAACAGGCACTCAGGGCAGACAGAGGTAGTTAGACAACTAGAGAGCTAGCTGTTTCCCTAGCTAAACCAACCCAGAGGGCTAACGAGCTAAGCTAGCTGCAATTAGCTAGCCCAACTAGCCAGCATTGGCTGCTTAGTGGCTTAGCTAGTTAACTATTCAACCAGTTAGCTACTTAGCCAGCTAGTCAGCTACTCAGCTAGTTAGCTGGCTAGCCTGTTAGTTGGTTAGTAGCAGGACTGTTTTAAATTCCCTGACAGCTTGTGTTTCTCAAGCAGAGCAGGGTGTGGCCATCACAGGCTGCCTGGCTCCCAGGTGCCAACCCTTTTACGGTGGGAGGGTGGGTGGCCAGCCAGGAGCAGAGCAACCGGTTTGCTAGGCGCTGGCTCTCTGAGGGCGGGGCAGCCGGACCACATTCCCTGGGAGGGTATCTCATGGCTGCTGGCGCCCTGGCCCCCACTCCTGGCTGGCGGACGAACCCACTCCCCATGCCACCTTCGCACCCCAGCCCCATCCTGCCAGCCACACCTTGTTGCCTGGGTGACACCTCCACAGGAACCTGAGCTGGCTGCCAAGGCCAGGGGCCAAAGGGCAGAGGCTGGTGCACCCGGAGAGGATGGGGGCACCTGAGTCCCCGGAGCATAGCTGGGGAAACGTGTTTGGAAGGGTCTGGAGTCGCTGTCCCAACACTGGGGACTCCGAAGGCAGACCCTTGGGGTCCACCTCCCGCCTCCGCCTCTTCTCAGCCCTGCAACCCTCCCCAGTCTCGGTTTCCTCCTTGAGAAACCGGGGAAGACACTCCCCACCTTGTTACAGAGGCTGTGGGGATTAAGGGAGATAATTAATGAAAACCAGCGGGCCCAAGGCGGGGCCCATAAAGGCACTCCAAAATAAGTCCCGAGACTCCCAGGTACCCATCCCACCTGGGAGCTAAGAGCTCGCACAGACTGCAAAGCCAAGTCAGCCCGGGCTTCTGGCTGTGTGACTTCACACAAGGGATGTGCCTTCTCTGAGCCTCAGTCTCCAGCCCGGGAAGATGGGGCTTTTAACACCATCACCTAGAAGGATTCTAAAAGTGAAGGCCCACAATGCATCTCCTGGTGTCCCACAGAGCAGGGAGCATCACAAATGTGTATCAAACGGGTGCCCTTCCTGTCCCAAGCGTCTCGGTGAAGGGCCGTGACCCTAGGTGACTCAAGGGCCTAATAACTTATTCAAGGCAGAAGCCAGGTTTCTGGAGCCCTGGCAGCCCAACTTTCCACTGGGCACACTACCTTGACATCACCAGTGGCCAGTCGACAAATATGTACTGAGCACAGGCCTGTGCTTAGCAAGGGCACGGCTTGCACCGCACTTCTGACAGCTTCTGGCTGGGTGGCTTCAGCAGACGCCTAACCTTTCTGAGTCTCGTTTATGTCATCGCACGGGGACGGGAACAGCACTCCCACACAGGGTGCTGGGAGCCACCCACGAGTTCAGGTTGCATGTCCAGAACTGCGCATGGGCCCTGGAACATCAAGTGTGATGATACAGCAGCTGTTAATGACTGCTGGGCCAGTGGCTTCTCCTCTCCAAGCTGCGGGGAAAGGGGGTGAGAACCCCTGCCTCACAGCCTTACGTAGCCGGGGCTCAGCAAGATTACACTGGAAGGCAATTTAGAACAGCAAGCTCGCCCTGGCCGGTTTGGCTCAGCGGTTGGAGCGTCGGCCTGCGGTACAGAGAGACCCGGGTTCGGTTCCCGCTAAGGGCACGTACCTCGGTTGCAGTTTGTCCCCGACCCTGGTTGGTCGTGCGGGTGGCAGCCACTCGATGTGTCCCTTCATATTGATGTTTCTCTCTCTCTCTCTTCCTCTCTCTCCCTCCCGCTCTATCTGAACAAAAAATGGAAAAATGTCCTCGAGTGAGGATAATAAATAAATAAATAGAACAGCAAGCTCTCGTTAAGTACGAATGATTATTATTAAGGCCCAATTAACATCCTGTCTGGGCTTCTAGAATCTTCCATCTCACTTCTGTTTGTCAGGCCCTAGTTCTCTGGTTCTTGGGCCACGGCCTTAGCTCAGGCCTCACCAGTTTCCCCCTGAACTTTCTCAGTTATCTTCCTACCACAGTACATAGGACACGGGGTCTGGAGTCAGACGACCTGGGTTCAAGTCCCAGCTTAGCCGGTTCCTAGCTCTGGGGCCTTATCTAAATGCTGGCCCTTCTCTGAGGCTCAGTTTGCCCACCTGAAGAATGGGGGTGATAGCAGGTACCTTATAAGGTTACTGTGAGGGTTCAGAATATTTGTTAAGAGGCAAAGGGTGGCCCTGGTCAGTGTGGCTCAGTTGGTTAGACTCTCAGTCTGTGCACTGAAGGGTTGAGGGTTCGATTCCCTGTCAAGGACACATGCTAAGATTGCACGTTCAATCCGTGGCCTGGTCAGGGAGTGCATGGGAGGAAACCAATCAATGTGTCACTCTCACACTGATGTTTCTCCGTCTCTCTCCCCTCCCTTCCCTCCCTTCCTTCCACTCTCTAAAAATCAATGCAAAAAATGCCCTTGGGTGAGGATTAACAAAACGAAAAAATAAAATAAAGAGGCAAAGGGTGGCTTGGTATTCTGGGTGTCCCTCTGATCTTCCTGCGTTCGGTGAGACACAGGGGAGTGGCTTGGGCAGAGGCCTCTTTCCCAGGGCTTACAAAGGTGAGCGAGGAATCAGGAGCCAGTGAAGCCTGGAGAAGGTGCCAATCCCATCCAGGGTCCGACAGCCCTCAGTTCAAATCCCACATCTGGCCCTGGCCAGTGTGGCTCAGCGGTTAGAGCGTCGGCCTGCGGTCCGGAGAGACCCGGGTTCGGTTCCCGCTAAGGGCACATACTTCGGTTGCAGTTTGTCCCCGGCCCTGGTTGGTCGTGCGGGTGGCAGCCACTCGATGTGTCCCTTCACGTCGATGTTTCTCTCTCTCTCTCCCTCCCACTCTATCTGTACAAAAAATGGAAAAATATCCGCGGGTGAGGATAAAAACAAAAACAAAAACAAATCCCACACCTGCCACCACACGCTGAGGTGCCCTGAGTGCTGGCCCTGGCCCTCTCACGCCTCGGTCTCTCCTTCCCAAACAGGAGTCAGAATTCATACAAATATTCGACTCTTGTGCTTTGTGACACTTACCAAGGCAGATATTGGGGCCAGTTTATTTCTTTTCATTTCTTTATATATCAAATCACTTACTGAAATATTTTCATTACTCTCATTGAAGTTTTGTCGTTTTTAAAAATATAAAACCAGCACTTTGCCTTTTAGGCTTTTAGCTAGGTATTTTGATGATTTTTCCAGTGGGGCCCCATGAGCAAGGCAGTGAGACCCCAGCCCTCCAAGCTGGTGTTTGGAGCATAACTCGAGGGCCAGCTGCCTGGGTTCAAATCCTGGCAGGACTCCTTCATATCTATGTGACCTGGGACCCAAGTCACTTAACATTCCTGAACATCAGGTGATAACAACAGTCCCCGGTCTAGAGGTGAGCTGATAACCTACACACAGCACTTAGAACAGTCCTTGGCACATCGTAAGTGCTCAATAAATATTTGCTAGCTACCCGCTATTACTAGTTTTCATTATTATTGTCGACATTCCTTGTCAATCTCTCTAGTCCTGTTTGCTCTTAATAACTCTTTGGCTGCCCATTAGAACCACCTTGGAAGCTTATTAAAAATACCAAATACCCTGCCATACACCCCCACCCCCGAGGAGCCTGATTTTAATGGGCTGGAGTGGGACTCAGGTGTTGGTATTTTCAGAAAATTTCCCCAGGTGGTCCTAAGTGAAGGCAGGGTTAAGATCCGCTGCCTTATTTCATCTGTTTGCTGTAAAGATTATATAACCTGAGACACATTAACTGCTTAACAGAGGCTAGACTACCATAGTCAGCCTCACTATCGCCAGTCCCGTCTTCATCTTAAGAGGCACCACGGCAAAATGGTAGAGGCTGGAGCTCAACAACCAGGCCTGCCATGTCCAACTGGGTGATCTTGGTCAAGGAACTTGACCTTCCTGTGCCTCAGTTTCTTTATCTATAAAATGCTTTATTTTTTTATTTTTTTATTTTTTTTATATCCTCACCTGAGGACATTTTTTTTTTTTTTTTTTTTGATATTTTTTGTTCAGATAGAGTGGGAGGGAGAGAGAGAGAGAGAAACATCGACGTGAAAGGGACACATCGAGTGGTTGCCACCCTCACGACCCAACCAGGGCCGGGGACAAACTGCAACCGAGGTACATGCCCTTAGCGGGAACCGAACCCGGGTCTCTCGGGACCGCAGGCCGATGCTCTAACCGCTGAGCCAAACCGGCCAGGGCTCTATAAAATGCTTTATAATGGTAGGATGTATTGAGACAACATACGTGTTTTATGTAAACTCTGTGTCCTCATTAGTTTTTGGCTCCTTGAAGTAACATACTATTTCATTACAGTCTGCTACCAGAATTTTTTTTTTTTTTTATCCTCACCCGAGGACATTTTTGCATGTATCTTCAGATAAAGTGGGAGGGAGAGAGAGAGAGAAACATCGATGTGAGAGAGACACATGGACTGGCTGCCACTCACACGACCCCAATCGGGGCCGGGGACAAACTGCAACCGAGGTACCTGCCCTTAGCGGGAACCGAACCCAGGACTCTCTGGTCCGCAGGCCAACACTCCAACCGCTGAGCCAAACCGGCCAGGGCTGCTACCGGAATTTTTTTCGCCCACCCCCATGAGGCAATACATTTTAGAGAACCTAGTTTCTGCTTAATAAATGTTGGTTTGTGTTGTTATTAAATCTCTCCGGGCCTCAGTCTCCTCGTAGATAAAATGGGGGCAGTAATAGATTCTACCCGTGTAAGGTAAGAGGACATGAATTAATATATGGAAGGCGTTCTGCACAGGGCCTGGCACGTGCTTTTCCATATTCAATGGTTCACTAATTATTACAGACCCATAGCCCTTTCTCAAAGCACTCTGGGTTTGTTACAGTTGAGAATTCAGAATTTGCTAAACGTTGGGGAAATAGTCAGGTACATCTACCACATAATACATGGGGGACCCCCCTCTGGGGTCCGAGGAAGTCCTGATAATCCAGTCACTTATAACTTGGCAACTAAGTGTAGGAATGGTCACACGACGTGGGATAAAGACGATAAACGGCCTCACGTTCATTCAAGTGGGGGTGCCGGCCGGAGCTCCCCACTCGGAGCAATGCACTCACGTAGATGAGGCCGGAGTAGTAGCGCTCGCGGAGGTTGTGCAGCACCGAGGCCTCGTTGAGGCAGGTCAGCTCCGCCATGTCCTCGGCCTTGCTGAACTTGGGCGGGTTCATGCGCTGGATCTGGTCCCGGGGCAGCCGCAGCCGTCGCCCGCTCTCCGCCAGCTCCACCTCGGCCTCCTCCTCGCCCTCATCTCGCAGCGCCGCCGCCTCGAAGCCGTGCAGCTCCGAAGGCACCCACACCAGGCGCCGAGCGGTCCACTCCACCTGCGGGGAGGTGGCCGAGCCCCCAGGCCCAGCACCCACACCTGGCCCACGCGGTGTGAACAGGAACGGCTGGGCCGCCTCGGGCACCGGGCCCGGCCTGGGAGCCACCTTCCGCCTGGGCACCGTCATGGTCACTGCTGCCATGGTCTGCAAGGGAAGAGAAGAGAATGGAGGTCACGTGGGGCTCCAACCCCACCCCTAGGCAGTCCCCGGACCTCTTTTTACAGTTCTGCAAAATGGGTCCACAGACCTCTTTACTCATGTAATGTATTCACCTCTCTCTCTCCATTCATTCATTCATTCATTCATTCAATAATTATGTAATAAGCCAGCCTGTGAGCCAGGCACTATTCAGAGCACTGGTCATATAAAAATGAACAAGCCAGAAAAAGACCCTTGACTTCATAGGGCGTTTACCTTCTAGCCCTGCGCTGTCCGATACGGAGCCACCGCACCATGTGGCTCCTGGGTACTTGAAATGTGGCAAGTGGGACTGAGGAAATAAATTTTTAATTGTATTCTACTTTAATTAAATTTAAATATAAATAGCCCGTGTGGCTACTGGGCACCTGAAATGGAGAATCCAAATGGAGATGGGGTTCTAAGTATAAGATACACACCAGATTTCTATTTGATGATACCAAAATAATAATTTGGGCATATTGAATTAAATAAAATATATCATTAACATTAATTTTTACTCTTTTTTTTTTTTTCCTCACCCAAGGACATTTTTCCACTTTTGTTCAGATAGAGTGGGAGGGAAAGAGAGAGAGAGAGAAACAACGATGTGAAGGGGACACATCGAGTGGCTGCCTCCCACTCAACTCCAACCAGGGCAGGGGACAAATCACAACCGAGATACGTGCCCTTGACCAGAATCGAACCCGTGACTCATTAGTCCGAGGGCCAACACTCTAACCACTAAACAAAACAGGCCAGGGCTTTACTCTTTTTATTTTAATCATCATGGGAGGATATGTTTATTGACTTTAGACAGAGGGAGGAAGGAAGGGAGGGAGGGAGAGAGAGAGAGAGAGAGAGAGAGAGAGAGAGAGAGAGAGAGAGAAACATTGATCAGCTGCCTCCTATACACACCCCAAATGGGAACCGAACCTTCAGCCTAGGTATGTGCCCTGACTGGGAATTGAACCAGCAGTGCTTTTGGTGTACAGGACAACACTCCAACCAACTAAACTACCTGGCCAGAGCTAACATTAATTTTTACTTTTAAAAAGTTTTTAGTGATGCTACTAGAAAAATTTAAATTATACATGTGGCTTGCATTATATTTCTATTGAATAGTGCTGCTGTAATCCCCAGAGACAGATAAAAAGATAAATAATTATACAGTGTGTTAAATGATGAGAAATGCCAAGGAGAAAAATAAGTCAGGGAACGGTGGATGTTAGTGTTGAGGGGTGTTGCAGTTTTAATTGGAGTGGCCAGGGAAGGCCTCTCTGATGTGGCATTTGAAAAAAAGGAGAGTGAGCCATGAGAATGTCAGGAGGAAAAGCATTCCAGGCTGGGAGAGCAGCCAGTGCAAAGGCCCTGAGGCAGGACTGTACCTGTATGTCTGTGGCATTGTGAGTGGCCAGGGAGGCTGGAGTCTGGTGATGGAGGGGGAGAGGGTGACAGGTGAGGTAAGACTGGGAAATAAGGGGCCATGTTAGGTCATGATGAAGAACTTGACCTCTTAGATGGGAGCCCTAGAAAGGTGTCAATCTGATATCTATCATTCAGATACCCAGACTACTTCTGGTCTACCCTATGCAGATTCGAATCTCCTTCCTCAGTGGAAGTTAACAGTGCCTTCCTTCCCTGTGACCTGGCTTCCTTCTCTGTATAATAGGGAGACTGGCCCCATTCATTCACTCCACCATTCGGTCAACCTTCCCTGAGGTGGTGGAGTCTGCAGACCCTGAGACTAGTTAGACAGGGCCCTTCCTCAAGCAGCTCCTGGTGATTCAGTTCTAGTCACAACCCAGTGTGAGCTGTGAGCTTTAATAGAGGCCCTGGGTGAGCGAAAATGTGCTAGACCCCTCCCCACCCTCAAATGGACCACAGGCCACAGCATCTCAGGCACAGTGTAAGCACCATCAGGAAAACATCCTCCCCGTCCCTCATTATGCCTGCTCCTGAAGAAGGAGCCTATTCTTTTCCACTGCCTGACATCCGCATCACCACCCTACAGTCACAGGAACACCCTAAAATTTCTGTCTCCCCCACCTCTGTGCTTCTGCCTCTGCCCTCCAGGACCCCCACCTCCAACATACTCCTGGAGAAGTCCTTCCAAACACCAGGTTCCTCTTGAGGCATCCCCAGATCTGTGCCCATCACATCCTCATCTTTCCTGCAGAGCCTTTCCCGCCCCGCCCCTGGCTCCAGGTCACACATCCCACTGCCTCCCAGACCCTCTCCTTACGTGCCCAGCACCCACAGTCCCCGCCCACAGTGACGCTTGCTCCTGATGTTCTCCAGCCTCAAACCCTGGGCCCCTGCATTCAAACAGCAGGGTTCTACCACCCGCGGATGACGTTTCTCCACCTCCCAGGCCCCAAATCGCCAAGGCTCACCCCAGGCCTCCTGTGTGACCCTGATCCACCCGCAGCCCAGCCCAATATCTGGGACTTTACCCCTACCTTCACCCTACCCCACCTCACCACTTCCTCTCCAGCCCTCGGCCTTTGACCAGGAAGAGTTTGGGAGTTTTTGCAATCACCCAGTCCTATGTTTTCACTCCCTAGAACCTGGAGTCCAGGCCCCCAGCACCCCAATCTTCCAGGACCAAGAAATCTGAACCCTCAGCCCCCTCCTCCCTTGGCCCCACGAGTCCAGGCCCCTCACCTCACTGCAGCCAGGCTGGTGAGGATGCCTGGGGACTGATTCTGAGGACTGACAATAGCCCTGAGATGGGACTGCAGGCCTCGGCCTGAGCCCCCCTGGCAGCCCCACCCTCTTTAGCCAGCAGGAACGCCTCTGCCAAGGCTCATTACTGTCACCAGGGCAGGTGAAAGCACCTGCCCTGGGAGGGGCAGAGACTGCTGGGCTAGAAAAGGAAAAGGAGCCAGGGATCCGCCCCTGGGGCAAGGGTTGGGGCCCTTGGAATCCAGCCCTCTGACCTCAGCAGAATGCTAGTATTCAGGAGCCCCTCCACCCCCAGATCCAGAAACCTGGGCTCCCAACCCCCTTCCTCCAACAGGCCCAGAAGTCTGGACCCCCAGCCCCGTCTCCTCAGACCGAGGAACCAGGACCACAGTGCCCACCCCCCCCTTCAAACCCTGGATTCCGGACCCCCAGCCCCTTCTCCCTCAGACCCAGGAGTCCCTATCCCCAGATCCGGAACCCTAGCCCGAGTGCTTTCCTCTCTCAAGACCTAGGAGTCCGGGCCCCCAGCGTCGTCCTTACTCAGACTGGGATTCCTGGCCCCCAACAATCCCCCCCCCCCGAATCCAGGGATCCAAGCGCCCAATCCACATTTCACCGAGACCCAAACGCCCGAGTCGCTGCCCCTTTACCCCGCCTCGGTACTACCTGGGGGCGCCGGCTGGCGCAGGAAGTGGAAAGATGGGGAGGGGTCAGCGGAATCCCCAGTTCCCTTCAGAGCTCTCAGGTGAGGCTACCTCCGCGGTCCAGCGCGGGGCGGGGCCACGTCGCGTCACCAGGAGGGAGCCCGGTTCTGATGTCACCCAGCACCTGCCGGGCTTGGGAAGGGGCGGGTCCTGGAGCCGCAAGGCCTTAGACAGGGGGGTGAGGGGAGGCGGGGATGAGCCGGTAGCCAGGTGGGCGGCGGCGGCGGCAGCGGCGGCGCCAGGGGCCCCTCCTTCTGGCGGGTAAAGGTCAGGCGCCCGCTGCAGAGAGGGCTGAGGACTCCAGGGTTCGAATCCCACTCAAACTTTCTGGGTCTCAACTTTCATCACTGTGAATTGTGGCCAGTGAAATAAATAAAACGATGTGGGAGAAAGAGCCAACCCAGGGCTTAAATAAGCAATGCCTCATGACATCATTTAATCTCTCTGAGCCTCCGTGTCCCCAGCCCTGGAAATGGGACAGCACAACCTACAGAGGATCAAAGAAGACGACGGAATGTTGTTCCGGCCGCCAGAGCTTGTCTCCTCATGGGTGAAATGAGGACTAAATAGTGGTAAACGCACCTACTATGTGCCTAATGTTTTCTGCTCTTAGAATAGCTCTCCGAGTTTTAACTCAGAATGACTTTTAAAAAAATGAAATGGGGCCCAGGCCGGTTTGGCTCAGCGGTTAGAGCGTCGGCCTGCGGTCCAGAGAGACTCGGGTTCCGTTCCCGCTGAGGGCATGTACCTCGGTTGCAGTTTGTCCCCGGCCCTGGATGGTCGTGCGGGTGGCGATGTGTCCCTTTCACTTCGATATTTCTCTCTCTTTCTCTTCCTCTCTCTCCCTCCCTCTCTAGCTGAACAAAAAATGAAAAAAAAACAATGAAATGGGGACGATGAGCTTCTGTACTCCGATGGGGAAACCGAGGCACGGAGAGGTGAAGTAACTCGCTCAAGGTTATACAGGCAGAAAGAGGGAGCTGGGTTCCAGCCCGATTGTTTTCTGCCATTGTAAAGGGGGGCTTGTGGGGAGAACGTGTAGTATTAGGTCCTCAACGATGTCAATTGCCCCCTCTCATTTGGTAACTCTCTCCCACTGGCTTCCCCATCTAAGCCACAGAGACCACAGCCTTCCTCCGTGGACTACTGTGGGCTGAAAGAGGTTAAGGGACCCAGAACACAGCTGGTCTCCGGAGTGTTATCCTCAGCTCCGTCTCCCTGCAGTCACCAGCTCTGCCCAGCCTCGGTTTTCCCCTCCCTGTAAAATGGGTACAATATAGCCCACTTCGAGTTAATAGAATTAAAGGACATTATTTAATTACAAAAATAAAAGCGCCAAAGTACATTGTAGGTGCTCAAATATGTCTTTCCCCACCCCTCTGCCTGGGCCAGTCCTGACCCCCTGTCTCTGGTCGGCATTTTTTACAAGTGAAGACAGAGACACTGTCATCTGGGGGCGGGTGTTGAAGGCGATGACTCAGGTATTAAAGGGCTCAAGGTCCCAAAGCGAGCCTCAGTTTCCCCATCTACGAAATAGGCCCGGGGCCGCCAGCGAGGACCCTGACCCGGCCTCGCACACAGTAGGAACTCGAGGGGGGGGCGGTTTGGATGCCCCGCCCCGCCCCCCGCGCTGTTCTGCAGCACGCCCAAGGTGAGTGTCCCCGTCACAGCTCCTGCCCCGCCGCTCGCACAGGCCTCCAGGACCCCGTTCGCAGCCCCGACGCCCCAGCCTCCCCAGGCCCAGTCCCGCTCCGCCGCCTCCCGCGGGCAGCGAGCCCCGGGCACTCACCGGCTTCCAGGGCCGTCCCGAGGCTTCGGCCTGAGGAGAAAGAGGGGCGGGTCCGTCAGGAAAGCCCCGCCCACACGAGCTCCGCAGGGGCCATTCGGAGCCCTCTGCGGCAAGTTGCGGCCCCGCCCGGGGGGGAACGTACCGCCCAATCAAGAGAAGCAGCTGTCAGGAGAAGCCAATCAGAAGTTGCCGGAGTGTGCCAGCCGTGGGAAAAGAACCGCGCCTGAGATCGGAGCAAGGCGGCGCGTTTGTGGGCGGCCCCCGAGGCCTGATGGGCAGCAGGTTCGACCAATGGCGAGGCGCGAGGGGCGGCCAGGGGCGGGAGGCCCAAGGGACCCGGGTGAATGGGCAGCTTTGTACCGGAGGAATGAATGGGGGCCTTTGTGAGGGCCCGCGTCGAGGGGGGCGGCTGGAAGCCGGAATGCCTGGGTCCCCGGGGAGCTGGCGGGCAGGAGAGACCGGAGAGAGAATTCACTTTTGTCGAACGCCGACCGCGTACCAGGCACTCTCCCAGGCTCACCCACTGGGGAGGTGTGGGCGATACCATCAGTAAGAGTGATCATTTATTGAGAGCCTGGTGTATGCCGGGAGCTGTGCTAAGCGCTTTACCTGCATGAGCTCATTTATTCCTTACAACTACCGTTTGGAATTGGTGCTATTAAGATCTTCATCTTCCAGATGAGGTAAACCGAAGCTTAGAAAGAGGGTGTTAGTGGCCGAAAGTCACAGAGCTGGCAAGTGGCAGAGCAAGACCTCGGATCCCGCTAAATCTGACTCCAGAACTTCTGCTCTTAACCACGACGCTACACCCAAACGTTCGTTAAGGCTTCTCAATGCGCAATTTACAGATGTCTCAGGAGAGGCAGGAGACTTTCCAAAGTCACAAAGAAAAGCCTCTGCTGAAACCCAAGGCAGTGACCACGTTTGAAGCTAACCTGTTGCGGGTGAGCCGTGCACCACTGGTCTTTGAGCTCTGTCCCCATTTTACACGTGTACACTGAGGCCCCAGGAGGGGCGAGCAGCTGGGGTGGGAACTGGGAACTGAGTGTCAAACAAGCCCCAGCCAGCCTCCCTTTGCTGTTCAAGAGCTGGGTGGGCTTGGGCCAGTTGCTGGCCTTTTTAGAGGTTCTATTTATTTCTGCCTCTGTAAAATGGAGATGATGACCTCTCTGCTTCCACTCTGACATCCCCCACACGCAGACTGTCTACTGCCATGGGGATCCTGTTAAACTTTATCCTGACTCCTCCCCTCCTCTGTTTAGAACTTTTCATGGCTCTATCTCAGAGTAAAAGCCAATAGCCCTCAGGGCCCTGCACGATGTGCCCTGCCTCCAACTATCCCCTACCCCTCCCGACCCGTGGTGCCCTGTCTGATCTCATCTCCTTTCATTCGGTTCTAGCCACACTGGCCTTCTGGCCATTCCTCAATTCCTCAAGCGCTCTTCAGGCATGGTCCTACCTCAAGGCCTTTGCATTTGCTCTTCCTTCCTCTAGGTTTTGCATGGCTGCATCCCTCTCACACAGTCAGGTCTGCTCCAATATCACCTCCTTCAGGAGGCCTTTCCTGACCCTCCTATATAAAACAGTTCCCTTTGTCACTCTCTCTCCCCATGACCCTGCTTGTTTGTAGCTCGTGGCTCCGGTAGAGTTTGTTTATTTGTTTATCTGTTTATCATCTGTCTCCCCACTAGAATGCAAGTCCCATAAAGGCAAGGATCTTTGTTTTGTTCAATGCTGGATCTTCAGGGCCTGGCACACAGTAGACACTCAGTAAATGTTGAATCGATACTAACAAGTCTTTGCATTATGTGAATTAAATGAGTTAATGCATGCAAAGAGTCAATGCATTGGGAAAAGGCTAAATAAACAGGTAATAATTATTATTACCATAGTTATTTTTTGCCCTACAAATAGCATGCAGGAGAGAAATGAGAGAAAGCCCAGAACAAGAGAAAGGGAAAGGTTGAGAGGTAAGAGGTGGGGAACAAAAAGACGGGAGGAGAGGCTGGAGTTGGGTGGAGAGCAAACAGAGAAGCAAGCATCCAACTCCTAATGCATTTGCTGGGCAATGGAAAAGGCAAGTCTTTGTAGACAGCACGGGTGTGGGGGGAAAGCCAGCGGGGAGTCAAATTCATATACAAGAATAAAACTTTGAAGCATGTGGAAGTGGGGAGAAGGGTATATCAATTGGGGGGGGGAACATCTGTAATATTTTCAACAATCAAGATTTTTTAAAATGCAACTGGAAAAAATATCACAATATAAAATATTAATGTAAGACAACCCTTTAAAAAACAACTTTGAAGCATAGAGGGGAAAATAATTGGGGGAAGCAGCTTCTGTACCTTGGGTGGGGGGGCATTAAAGGGGCTTGAGTCTTAATAGAGGAAAAGAGAGGGACAAAGAACATGCTAAGTGTCCCCATGGGTCCTGATTGTAATCCTGCCTGGGCATTTTCTCTGTGGCAAAGATTTGAATGGTCCCAGCATTTTATTTTTGGTCACTGTGCTGCTGTTTTCCTGCGTGTGACTCAGAGCTGGAACTGGCTCTGAGACAAGAGCAAGCTGGTGGCCTCGTGTGGGTCATAGATGAGTGGCAGGCTCTGTTCTGCAACGACAAATATTTATTGAGTGCCTACTACATGCCAGGCCTTGTCCTAGACCAGGCAGGAATCAGCAACTATTTCCTGTAAATGGCAAGATAGGAAATATTTCAGCTTCAAGAATCAGGTGATCTCTGTTGTAACTCCTCTACTTGCCTTTGTAGCAGGTAACCAGCCATAGATAACATATAAGTGAATGGGTGTGGTTGTGTTTCAATAAAACTTTATTTCCACAAACAGGAGATGGACCAGTTCTCAAAGCTGAGAAGGTGGAGGGAACAAAGACAAGCCCAGTGCTCACAGAACTCAGATATAATCAACTCCTACACAGCAGGCAGAGGGAACCCGTTCACACCTAAGTGAAATCCACCCCTGGCTCCTGGCCCACTCAGAGTTAAAGCAAAGTCCTCACCCTTTGTTCCCTGTCTACCTTCACCTCCCAAACCTCTCCCTCTTGATTGCTTCAGTCACACTGACCTCCTTGATGCTTCTCAAACATATTGGGCTGAGCCCTGCCTCAGGACCTTTGCATATGCCCTTCTCTTTACTGGAATGCTCTTCCCCTAGATAACCACTTGGCCCTTCTTCTTTCAGTCTTTGCTCAAATATCACCTGCTCCCTAAGGCCTTCCCTGGGCACCTCTCCCCTGGACTAATGAT